TAGCAATGTCTTTCCATTAGTGACACGAGTGTATAGTTGGAGGAAAAACCATGAAGAACTAGATTTGTTCTTCGATTCAACTAAATAAATGCAATTGTGAAGACTTGTTTATTTTCATCAACCCTCGTGGCAATGAGTAGAGTACCCTTGCATTTGCACGTCAGAAAGGTGCCATTCATTTGGATTACCCGTAAACAGTGGTCGAAACCATCAATTCATGGTTTGAATACCCAACATATTCTATCAAACACTCATTTTCCCCTGCATAATCGTGATATTGGGGGCACATAAACTTAACCGAGATTTTTTTCAACAAATGCCAAAATCAACCAGGGTAGGTAAGCGAATGATCCGACCCAATCACTGTACAACACTGCGACTGCTTTTTGCTTTCCATGCCATGCTTTCATGTACCTTATAGTGTAGCCATGAAGATTTTTCACTTCTGCAATGAAAACCTTTACCGTGTTCCCAAGTTGGGCCTCAACTAGATACTTGATCATTTTTTGAAATTTTATTGCATTCAGCTGCTTATGATAAAGATAAAGAATTGAGAAACTACATGTGTGCATGTTATCCACCTTGTTAATAAGCCAAGCCCCATGCTTCTTCACATATGCAGTCGAAACTTGCCACATGCAGCCTTCTCCATAGTTCTCTCAACAAGCATGGATTTGTTAGTATACGAAGCCTAAACACGATATAATGGAAGCTCTTCTCATTGCATATTCGTTCAATTCATCCACAACATTTGGCTTCCTCCAAATATTTTCACAACCACGAATCCTGGATTAGGATTTCCAATGGGTATAGGATACAGTCTAGATCGTCGTTATTGGCATATAGTGGATGTTGTGGCCCCATATAGTAGTGAGGTGTCGGAGGATCAAATACCCCATCATCAATATCATCATCATCTTCACTACTCATTGACTCCAAATCTTCCATGTCACTATCCTTACTTGTGAAGGGAGGACTTGGCTTATCCCACAATGATCATCATTCCTAACTGATTTTTGTATGGATGCTCTTACGTTGGCCCATTCTTCACCACATACTGGCCATTCTTGTCCTCGGATTCAATCATTGAACCAGGTGCACAAGCCTCATTTCTAGGCCATGGTACGCCATCTAAAACTCCATAACCATCTGAACATAACTCCACCTGAAACTTCATCGTGTTGGGTGTAACCACAATCATCATACTCACCACCTCTTTTGTCTCGATGTGCACGCCGGAAACTCGAATTTTGTTCTTTGATATGAATGCCAACATCTGATTCATCGTCAGACAAGATTGATTCTCCGTACACCATTGCATATTTGTATTCTGATATGTCATCTTATATACTCTTATATGGCCACCTGTGCAACACCATTCCTCGCAAATATGAAAGAGATCATGCCAACCAAATATGCTACCTATCCAGATAGTGCTTACCTCACCATCTTCATAGTCAACACTATTCTGAAATCTTCTCACTTAACCATTCCACTGAATCATTAGGTCAAACTTTTAGAAATTCCTTTCCATTTCTTCAATTTACAATAACAAAAATTACATAAAATTCAAAGCCTAAATATAAATAACAACCAAATATTATTCCAAAATCCTAATCCACATTTAACCTACTTTCAAAGGCTAATATAACCCATTTTTCAACCAACAAAATAAAACATATGTTAAAATTAAAAAAAGTCAACGAACCAATAGAACATCCTTTAATTATAACGGCTAATACCACTAGGAAACCTAAACTATCAAAAAGTGTCATTTGTGTCCCAAACTATTCAATATTTCATTTATGTCGTGAACTATTTTTTCATTAGAGTTTACCGGCGTTGACCGTTAGTATTTAACAGAAATACAGTCAGTGCTAAAGTGACATCTGACGTGCAATCTTTAATATCAATTTCAATTTTTTCCCACATAATTCGGATTAAAAAATAATATTTTCAGCATGTATATAAAAATTTCTTTCTCCTCACACCCTCCCACGATTTCACTGCTCTTACGTCGTCGGGAACTCTATTTCCGAATTCATCACAATCATCTTGTCGACTCTATCCAGAGAGAGATCCCGCCTTTCATGGAACCTTCAAGCCCCCAGCCACGAAATCATTGACCAGGTCAATAAAATTGGGTGCCAAGTTCTAGATTCAACCCTGGCGCCATAGTCGACCTCGGTTGCATCGTTGCCTCCAGATCCAATTCGACGATCTAGAAGCAGCAACCGTCGAAAGCGGGATCGAGAGAAAGAGGTCGTGCCTTGCAATCAAAATCAGCAAGCGATTCGGTGACAGTGATGCACGACCTCCAGGTAGTGGCAGCGGTGGCAAGGAGCGACTATAATCCCGAACCCACTGTCGGCGGAATGTAGAGCCGAGACAAATTTGCACTCCATGTTTCTTCGGCGACGAAGATAGCACATGCAGCAGCAAGAGGCCGGCATAGCAGCTATAGTGCGCGGATCGGGCCTCTTCTTTCCTGTTGATTGAACGCATAGTCGAAATAGAAAGAAGGAATAGGAAGCCGAAGAAGCATAGGAGATGGTGAGGAAGTGCGATGACGGAGAGGTGGATTCGCGATGATGGTCGCCGGGAGGTGTGGAAATCAAAGAGAAAATAAAAGTTGAAAGTTGTGAGAGGAAGATGAAGAAGGGGAGTAGCTTGGCCATCCACCAGTAGAGCCGACGGCATCGAGCTTGCTCGGTGAGTTTTTCCAGAGTAGCAGCTTGGCCATCCCGCGCCTGTTCGACCAAAATGAAAGAAAAAAGAGTTTGGGGATAGTGGCGGAAGAAGATGAAGACATTTATTTTTTATTTAGTTTTATTTTCTATTAAATTTTATTTTTATATAATGCGATGCGGCATTTACATAGCCGCCACATATGTGTTACGTAATCAATGATCAACTTTTTCTATTGACCGTTAGGTCAACCGTTATCTATAACGATCAACAAAATCGTCAAGACATAAATGACGGACAACTATCATAGGTTGAGACATTTTCGCAATATTGAATAATTCGGGACACAAATGACACTTTCTTAATAGTTCGAGCTTCTCATTCGTATTAGCCCTATATACAACAACCAGTACAACCACATATAAATATAACAATCAAGCATTAATCCAAAATCTAATCCACATTCAACCTACATTCAAAGGATAATGTAACCCATGCTACAACCAACAGAACAGAACATTCCTTTAAATGACAGAAGCTCAATGAACCTACTTTTTCTTTGCTGATTATTTCATCCTCCTTTTGTTTCTTTTGTTGTTTTTTTTCCCAGAATAAATAGATGAATGAGCTGAAAGGGTGCTGGGTATTTATTTTTGTTCAAGTGAGGAGTAGTTCGCCGCCCTCCCCAACAATCCACTCTCATTAATAAACCATATCCCTACACCATTTCCTGAGACATGTCGGGAGAAAGCGACTATTATTTTTATTTTATTTTTAGATCAGGGTGATATGGGTTTACTTTTGTAGTTTTAGATACTACTTAAGGGATTCAAACTTGAGATCTTCAGGTTCAAACCTAGTGATACTACAACTAGACCAAGCTCTTGTTTGTTTATGTTGGAACTAAACTAAGTAGAAACATGTCGCCAGTTAACATTATTGAAAGTGGTTCGCCTTTCTAAGCAACGGACAAAGTTGGGATCTCTTTACAGACCGGTGAAACCCAAATTAGTTTTCCCTCCTGTCCAACGAATAATAGTACTATTCGCCCCATTGACCCGCGAACCCCTTCGTAGATCACCCCATTGTGTAGCGAGTAGCTCCAAACATAGACATTTTGGAAAAAATTTGTTCAATGTTGTATTGCGGAAATTTAATGTGTAACTTGTGTATTTAAGGATTTTTCTCAAATTTTAACAAAAGAACATATTTTATTATTTTTTAAAGTACAATGGCATGTTTGATGTAAACAATCATAGAGGGACATGTTTGATAAAAAAAATAGTAGACCAGCATATTATACCTATAATTCTTGTTTTAACTTCAACTCAAATAATATTTTGGAAAAAAAAGAGAAGAATTTAATAGACCTGGCAATCGAGTCGGTTGGAAATCTCTAGTTAAGGGCTTTCGCGGGCCGAGTCATGTTGGGTTGGTTGATTTTGGGTCAAACATTGACCCAACCATCGGATGAGGGATCGAGTTTCAGATCATTTCAGGTTATGAGCTTTTTCACATCTGTATGCCAATAGTTTACTTTGCACATGTCAATTAAGAAATGCTCAAATTCTTTCATGCTAATGAAAAGAAATACAAATTGCACAAATCATCAAAAATTAATCACGAAAGTAATACTACTACAAGAAACAAATGATGTTTGATTTTCCTTACACTCCAAAGTTGTATTTCAAATCCTTATAAATTTTCTTAAACGACTCACCAATTTGTAAACGATTTTATCATTTTAAGAGTAACTTATGATATGAAACGAGTCTAACAGATAGCCCCGTTAACCCACCCGACCCCAAAAACTATGGGTTAATCAGGTTCGGATGATTTGGGTTTCGGGTTATTAAAATTTCAAACCTTTTTTTTTTTTCAGGCCGCTTTGAATCGGGTCTGTCATTTGCTAACTCTCAAATGATGAGATAAACTTATCAAGAAAAGAAAACTGAAATCAATCCACAAATTCTTCTTTATAACTTAAAAAGGAACCCCCATTTATAAGAAGCTGCAGTGCTGCACCCTGTTGCGGATTCTACTATATAAACTAAGGCACTTAGAGGAGCACGTGAAATGCAGTGCACATTAAACAATGGCAAGCGCGTTGCACAGCAGACCCATTTTGATTGCATTCACCAATCTCCCCATTTGTTTACTCTTAACAAAATGCTATACATAAACAAAGCAGCCCCCTTTAATCCAATCCAACACCCTAAACCACATTCCACCCAAAATCTCAACTTCTTCCCCGCAAACCTGCAATCCGCCAAACAATTCCATTCCAACAAGGCTCAATTACCTCACGGGAAATGGGGAAGGGGACGGCGAAGCAGTGCAGAGTGAAGAAGGTGCTGCAATTCCCGGCGAGGTTGCTGGTAAGAGCCAGGGACTTTTACGTCAACGGGATGTCCCAATTGTCTGACCAGATGCGGTGCGGCGCCGTTTCAAACATGGGCTGCCCGGCCCACATGGGCACCGCCGCGCTCCCCAGGAGTTTCAGCGTCGGCAGTGGGTCGACGAATCCGGGGTCCGATTACAGCGAGTTGATCAGGGCGGCTTCAGTGAGGGAAAATTTGGCCGGCTGGAGCAGGAGGAGTGTTTCTCGGGAACTGCAGAGTCCGGCCGCCGTGAAGGCTTCTTCAGGGATGGTCAACGTTAACAGTGGAGGAGCAGGGAAGGTGTCGAGAAGCTATAGCGTCGGGCTTGGAAGGATAGAGGAGGAAGAGAAGTGCGACGGTTTGGGGGAAGATGATTTTACTTTCAGTCCTGTCGCTTTCCACAGAAGCAGAAGCTGCGCTGTTTCTGCCGCCGGTGGGGTTCTTGGCAAGACGACGACGGGTAGGTTTCAGAAGACGGTGGCAGCAGCATCTGTAGCTTAGCTTGGTAGGTTTGTTTAGCCCTGCCTCTTGGCTCTGGAAATTCTTAATCATGAATTTCTGATACAACAGGGAAAAGACGGTCTTTATTCATTTACCTTGCTTCCTGTGATTGTAAAAAATACTCTGGTGTGTTTGTTTTGTTATCGGTTTTTCAGAGAGTTCTCTGTACCTTTGTTTGTTTGACTGTGTATTTTACCTTTGCTGGGTTAATGGCGGGTAAGGGTTGTTTCCCCGACTCCGACAGATGGCATTCCTGTGAGGATATTATACTTGAAGAAACTCAAAGTTGGATCAATATCAAGGCATTGTCTTCGTGCGAGTGAGTGCGGAGATGAGAATATTCATCACACTATTGGTTTGGATATTAAGATCAATGTCCAACAAAAAAAAGTTGGATCAATCGAAGATTAGATATGGTTTACGAGCTGTAAAATCTAAAAACATATATTTCACCGGTTAGAGATTGTACGAGGATGGTTGTTTATCGAGGATTTCAATTGATGAGAAATTACTACAGTGAATTTTTTCTTCAGTTGTACGAGTCTTTCTTCATAAGTAGAGAACAATAGGGTTTTATATTCATAGATTCTATGAGTTCTCATGAATTATCAGGTTTTTTCCCAAAAATATTGAGTTATGATGAATTATCATGTATTTTTCCAAAAATAAATGAGTTTTGAAATAAATTCCAAACTAGAGGTTGTTTTGTAAATCTATCAAATGAACTATATTGTCTCTAGTTAAAGAGCGACATACAAAATTGGTGACTACATAGTCTAGGACCCGAACAAAAACAACGACAATATACAGTATATTGCCAGTCACTAAGCGACATTCTCCATCATTGGTCAAGAGAAGTGTGGCATGTACATGTTGGGCATGCGAGGGAAACGCGGATTGCGCCGGACGAACACAATGTAGGACACATAACCTTAGATCATGCGATTGAGGTGAGACATTGCTATGTCGCTGAAAGGAAGAGTGTCACTCTTCTGATTGTTTCATTTCGAACAACACTAATTTGTTGTTTGGCCCCATGATGTTTGCGATGTTTGTATGTTTGTTAGAATGTGCAGCAATAAAATAACCCAACATAAATTTGTGATTTGTGTTGCCCTGACACTACAACCGGACAATATCCTCAATAGACATAAAAAGATAATATCAGAGGGGAAAAAGAACGAGTTACCCAGTAAAAGTGAAGCACACGTGCACATGAGAAGAGAGGAATCCATGGATGAGAATCTCCCTCTTGCCTTAGTAAGAGATGTGATTGTTTATTTTTCCTTTATTTTAGTTTTCAGTTTTTTGTAAAAGAAAACAAAAAGGTAAGGATCATAAATGGCTGGGAGTATCACTCCTTACCCCCGTCAATAGAGTGCACATGTGTGATGGATACGCTGAAGTGAGGTGGATTCCAAAACTTAGTTATAGTAGTAGGGTGATCCAGCAAAGGCACAAGTAGCCCTACCACCTCATAATAATCAAACCTCATAAGAATTCCCTCACACTTAGCATAGGCATAGACCATTAACACCTCTTATTCTCATAAGCAAAGAACCCCGACTCCCCAAATCAACACAAATCCTGAATTCAACCTCCTAATCTCAAAATTGAAACTCCTGACCATATTCCCATCATCCTAAGAGTCTAATCCAAGGTTGAGAAGTGTTAAAACTCACCCAAAGGAAAGAAAATCAAAGGAAGAGGGTCACAACGCGTTGCCGGAGTTCGAGAGAGAGGGGGAAGGATGGCGATGACGGAGGCAAGAGAGAGAGAGAGAGAGAGAGAGAGAGGGTGGGCAACACAATATCCCGATTGAACCTATATCAATTGGGAGTCGTATAGCAATATTGATTAATCCTCACAAAAAGGTCAATGGGATAACTCATATCATTATGATCGTTATCAGGATTACTTAGAAGAGGAATGGTATAACTCACCTGGTTATGACTATTACCAAGCCTTCTTAGAAGAAGAGTTACATAATGACTCACACGACTATAATCATTACCATGGAAATTTTTCATACCCCACATACTCATGGGACACTCTATCTCTCAATCAAAATCCTCAAAAGCCGATCAATGCTAGCATAGACTTTGAGGCAGTCTCATTGAGACAAGAAGAGGAGCAAATTGTCCCTAGAGTAGTGGAGGAGGCCATTTGGTGTGAAGCAGAAAGGTAGATATCGTTGAAACTCACCAATAGTTGGAGACAAGAGATTCATATTAAGTAGACAAGCCTCCGCTTGAGCCTCCAGTGATAAAGGTGCATCAACAGCGAGCCATTTGATCCCAATGAGGATGAACAGGCACCTCGCCGCTTGGTAGAGCCGGATTTTTTCCGACTTCTTAATTCATATCCGTTACATCACTTCTTTAGAGCAAAGAGACCATAGCATCTTATTTTTCCTTTGGAGGAAAATACAAAGATTTTGCCTTAGCTCGTCACATAAATAAAGCTCAATCAAGGAGACATAAAAGGAAGGTGATGAATGCAAGGTGGAGAACCAACATGGTCTATCTCTTTGGTGCATCACCTTGCTGAGCACGAGCAAAGCATGGTATGAAACCTCCTTTGAATACATCGGATATGGGAATAAAAGAGATCATTTGTTGGGCATCTCTCTAATATTAACCTTCCACCTATAACGATGGTAAAGAAGCGCTTGTTGGGAGACAACCCAACCATCGGTTTGCATTCCTTTTTATTTTTCTTTTAATTTTCCCATTTGATTTGAATTTAGTGTGTTTGTATGTTTTGTGTGTTCATTTGGATCATGAACCAGGTATCTTTAAATCTAATATCCTAGGGAAATTCTTGAAGCCTAAGTTTAGTTGTTGAGCTTAAAACTCTTAAAATTTTAATTCTTGCCGAGGATTTCATGGGTTGCTTCACGCTCGTGACCTAGCCCATGAGTGCCCCACGCCCTTGAAGAAAATCGTGGGAGGGCCCATGTGTCGTCGATCCCCTTCGCGTTTTGACTACCCATCCGCCCGCCCAGCCTCTCTCTCTGTCTCTTAGTGTCGTCGCCGCCATATATCCTTCTCCCTCTCTCTTGAACTCTGACTAGCATGCTATTACCCCTCTTCCTTCATTTTCTTAGCCTTAGGTGAGTTTTCACACTTCTCAATCTTGGCTTAGACTCTTACGATGATGGGAATATGGTCTTGAGCTTCAATTTTGAGATTAGGAGGTTGAATTCGGGATTGGTGCAGATTTTGGGAGCGAGGGTTCTTCGCTTATGAGAATAGCAGGTTTTGTTGGTCTACGTCTGTGCTTAAGTGTGTGTGTGGGGGGGGGGGTTATTATGAGGTGGTAGGGCTACTTGTGACTTTGTTTGATCACTCCACTACTATAAATAAGTTTTGGATTCCCCCTTACCTTCAGCGTATCCATCACACCTAAGCACTCTATTGATGAGGAGTGGTACTCTCGCCCGTTCATGATCCTTACCTTTTTGTTTTCTTTCACAAAAAAGGGTTGAAAACCCCAAAAAAGTAAAAATAAACAAGAAGAAGGATGACATTTTCCTAATTAAATTAATGGAGATGCTAAGCACGATCCATGTTGACATGCCCCGAATAGGCATAATTAGTGAAATACTAGAATACTCCAAGCATATGCAAGAATTTGTAACACATAAGAAAGAATGACTCGATGCTACGCTTGTCACCCTCAATGAGCATTGTTCTGTGACACTGACTCAGCACACCTTACCCAAGAAATGGAGCAATCTTGGTAGTTTTAATTTGCCATGCACAATTGACACTATGAATTTTGACGATGCCTGGCCAACTTAGGAGCTAGTATCAATGTTATGCATGCATGCATTTATAAGATGCTTAAAACGTAAAAACCTCTATCTCCCACTTGAATGACTATACAACTAGCGGATAAAACCTCTAGACAACCTAAAGGGGTACATGACCATAAGCAGATGTTAAGGATAGGAACCGAGGTTGCCATCTTTGAGAAGAGAAAGGAGAATAAGCATGCCTATTCAACATTGGATGAGGAAGATTTCCAAGGATTCGATGACCTCGAGCTAGTATTCTCCATCGTTGATCTAATGACCGATGATCCATTGGAACACTGTCTAATACAAGGACATGGTGAAAACTTTCATGAGCTAGACCAACCAGAGCATGGAATAGGAGAGCCAATAGAAAAGATGATGGCCCTGAATCACTAGTTATGGAGACCCCTCCTCTACCAGATATCAAGAAATCATATGAAGAAATGGTGGACCTAACGAATTTTATAATTACTGAAGAAATGGTGGACCGAGCTCATATTTGGACCGAACCAAACCGGACCAAATGGACCAAATACAAGAATGGTCCGGTCCTTGGTCCTAACATGTCTTTCACTAATGGACCGCGGTTCTCATGAGTTTGGTCCGGTCTGGACCGAACCGAACCGTTGCACACCCCTACGAGCTAGAGATGAAGGCATTTTCAGAGAATCTAGAATACACATTCCTAGATGACAAAAAAATCTTCCTATTATCATCAACTCAACACTATCAAAGGAACAGAAGGAGAATCTAGTGGAATTGCTCAAGCGACAGAAAAGGCTAAAGCCTAGTCGATCACTGACATTCATGAGATCCATCCGTCACTCTGCTGGCACAAGATACTAATGGTGGACTATCATAAACCAATGGTGCAACCCCAACGATGTTTGAATTCCCACCTCAAGGAAGTCGTGAAAAAGAAGGTGCAGAAGCTATTAACAGTAGGAATCATATATCCCATTTCGGAAAACAAATGAGTCATCCCTGTACAAGTAAAGCCAAAGAATAGAGGAATGATGGTGTGCATCAATTATCAAAAACTTAATGTCGCTACAATGAAAGATCACTTTTATTTACCATTCATTGATCAAATGTTGGAGTAGCTTGATAGTTATTCTTTTACTACATTTTAGATGGAATGTCCGACTAATTCTTGATTCCCGTTTCCCCTAAGGATCAAGAGAAAACAACCTTCACA